TATACTGTACAACAAAAAATGCAAACACCACTTCTAATTCTACTAGATAGGTAAACATAAAACGGAAACAAAATTAAAGACGCATTACTAAAAGCACTGTGATACTAATATAAACAAATGAATAATTGATTTATAATAATCATTAATATTAGTATATTTAAAAAATGTATTTATGTGGTAAGATTATGATAGTTATGACGATATAATTTTAATACGAATGCATTTATTACTTGAGTGCAAGCAATATTTTTCTCTTTTTCAATTTTGTTATTCATCATTTTTAGACATGTGTTCCTAAACAGCAAACTGTTGACATTTAGGTGAAAATCTCACTGCACCATTCAATGGAGAATGCAATGGCAGGACGCCCGTGCAATTAATCGTTTTTAAAGACGATCCCTTGAGACTGCCACCAATAATGAGCGCCGGGCATCACATCCTTTAACGCTCACAGGGAGAGGAGTTGGATTCGTCGGTCTATGGTCGTACAATCGTTGTAAGACACAGTGAGTGCCTGGACATACAGGAACAGTAAACAACTATGAGACTTTATTGATTTGTTTGAATTCATTTAAAATCAAATTTACAAGGACAACAACATTCACTTTCTAATGAAATGATAATTTACACCTTATTGGTAACATACTATGTTGTATACTGAATTGGAAAGAGTAAACTTTACCTCTTGTAAAGCAACAACATCATATTCCCCTTTTGATAATTCCTCTGCAATATACTTAAATCGAATACGTCTATCCCTAGTAACAAAAGGTACGCCCCTGCCAAGAGAAAGAATAAAAAATAGGCATTTGAAATATTAAATCAACCTTGATCATGCTCAATACATTTATTTCATTTCAAATATTAATATTTTGAATTGGATTCTTTTACAATCGAACAATCATTTTCCCCAGCAAAAAAAAAAACCCGACTCGCAAAATAAACAAATGAATTTTTACAAATTAACACCCAATTTTCAAATTGTACGAATTTATCAAATGAAAAACATACTTAATATCAAATGAATACATTTGTTAGTAGTAAAGATTAAATTCAAACTTGAAAATTTAAAGCCTACTCAGAAGGGAAAAAAAATTAATATGTTGTACAAATAAATTTTCTAATGACATTGAATGAGTGTTTCAGGCTGAGTGGCTGAGGAGTAGCCTAAGCCTTAACATCGGCGCTGGTTCGAGCTGCTCCTAACCCAGGGTTTGGTTGGTACAATGAAGTTCTTTCAGAAGACCAGTGTTACACATCTGTTGTATGTGCACTTTAAGGAACCCATTGAATTTTTCAGAAGAGTAGGGGTTACCCAAATGCTGTGGTTCACTTCAGCCTCTGTTGTGGAATGATGTGAACTGGAATAGCTTTCCAGTGAAGATAATTCAAGGGGGGGGGGGGGCCCCAGCCGGCCTGCCTCCTCCTCCTTAAAATTATAAAAAAATTAGATAGAGAAGAAAAGAAAATTATATTTAAAGTCTGAGAGTGCCATTTCCAGCCATTTACAGGTACCATAATCATACATTTTCTAACCTCAGCCCATGGTGGGGCTGAGGTAATAATAATATTGACACCATACGTGAAAGTCTCCAGGCCTCAACTATTTTGGATTTCTGGATCCAGAAATATACAATTTTACAGGCACATTAATAATTAGGCTGTCCTTATGTAATTGAAGGTATGTCTTATACTTAAGTTTTGTTCATTTGAGAACAAATTTATAAAAATAAATGTAAATTTTTAAAATTTTATTTTAAGATGCATTATACAAAAGCCTCTCAAAATGGAAGGGTGACAAGACAGATGAGACTAGGTTTCGGAAAAAATTTTTCTGGGCACCCCTCCTGCAAATGTCTGGATCCACCCTGCTATTTTTGTAATTCAGCATTTATCTATTTTCCAAAATCACAAAAGAAGTATTATAGCCCTACAAAACAATGGAAAAAAACCTGCAAGAAAAAAAAGCTATAAAAGTGTAGAATAGGAGTTTACTTTTGGGGCCAATTTGACTTGTGGCCAAAATTTTTTTTCTCTTTTTTGGTAAAGCCACATTTATTCAGAATATTATTGAAATATAAAATATTGTACATTCACATACAGTATAGTTAAACTTCCCTAATTGGACTTGCCTAACTCACATAGTTTCTAAGTCGATCTTATTGTGGTATCAAACAATTTTTCAATGCCATTTTATATTCGGCTAAAGGTAGATTCATACCGAATTTGGTTTGTAGAGTATGGCTAACGGAACGAAAAAAGAAAATCGAATCAGTGGCAATAATAGAGGTATATGTACTAGACGCGCATCGAAAACGTTCTACAAATTTCGGTTCGGGTGTGAATAAAAGGTAGATTCACACTGACAGAATTTGGTTTGTATAGCTAACGAAACGAGAAAAGAAAATCGAATCAGTGGTAAAGAATAGAAGCGCGTACTAAGACACGTACCGTAAACATTCTATGAACCAAATTCGGATTCGGTGTGAATCTACTTAGGCAGGTTCAACTGCAAAATATACTAGGCCTACATGAACATAAAAACTAATGATTTTCAAAATAATGAATCAGTATTTCTTAATTTTTACAAACAATATATTTTCATATCAAACTTCTGGGGGTTTTTTTTCATATCTTTTTTTCTCTTTCCTGGCAAAGCCACATTAATCCACAATATTATTAAAATAAATATGTAACATGTACAGTAACGTAGCCGAGTTGTTGATGTGGGCCGCGTTGACCTGGGCCGCGTTGACCTGTTCCCCATTAACCTGTTCCCCATTAGGCATGTCCTAGCCTAGGCCAACCTGATATATAAGGGCCCTGGTAAATCTGTCTCTGACTCTAGCCCTCCTTTGAGAAAAAAAGAAATCATAACCGGTCAAAAATGTGCAATATTTTGACTATTTCTCAGACTAAGGCCAAGCCATCGGTTAAAATTGGTCAAAAATGTCTATGGCCAAATTTATGATTGGTATACCGCCACGGACGGGGCAGAGCAGAAAGGCCCCTGCCCTGCTGATCAGGATCCTGCTCCTCTGAAAAAAAGATAAAATACTAGGCCTAGCTTACCCGAAGTTAATGTCCTAAAACATTAGCAGTACACCTAATTAAATCAGTTATAAATTGTTAAACTATAACTAAATTAAGTAACAAACCAGCAATTTAAGGTTAAAGTACGGAGGAAAACTGTCCCTTCGCTCATGTTTACTATTTTTTTTTGCTCTTATTATAGCCTACTAGTTGTACGTGACTCGAGCATAGAGAGGTCATTGCCGGTGAGAGCGGTCAGCCGGGGAGCGAACTGTTTGTTATCTGTATGAAAGGGCAGTCCAGAATTTTTCAAACGGGTGGGGGAGGGGAACAACAGTTTAAGAATAGAAAAGTGAGTAGTACATAACATTAAGATGTGTATAAGAGACAGCTCACATAGTTTCTAAGTCGATCTTGGGAGGGGGGGGGGGGGGGGGGCCCGCCAGCTTCCCCTACCCAAAATTGAGAAAAAATAGAAAATTCTACTCAAATTTTGAGACTAAGAGTGCCAATTCCGGCCATCTAGGATATAATTTATTGGGGGGGGGGCCGCTAAGATGTATTTATGGGTGTAACTACAGCGCGCAACGCTATCTGAGGGCCAAAGGCTAGAGCGAGGGGAGGGTATGGTAGGGAGTGTACCCTCCTCCCAAAACGAGATTCTTTTTAAAAAAATTGGTACTTCTAGATGGCCGGCAATGGCATGAATGGGAAATTTAACTAGGCCTATTTTTCTTGGTCGAACTGCCTGACGAGCTTTGGCCGATGGGGGATTACCCTTCCCCCGCTGGCACCGCCACTTCCTCTCAGCCCCAACCATGGTGAGGCTGAGGTAGCGTAGAACCTCCATTTGTGAAAGTTCCTTTTTGGGCCCCCTTTACTTCAAATTCCTGGATCCGCCACTGAATTTAATGATTGGATCCACGTCTGGTATGTTTGTTGTAAAACAAAAAAATGAAGTAAGAATTTTTCTCTTATTAAAGCAGCAACATTAAGAATAATGAAATTGATATATTCAGTGACTGGAAGCATTATAGAAATGGACCTTTGCTGGACCCTAAACTAATCCGCTCACATGTACAGTAGATATTTATAGTTCAGGGTTAGCAAGGATATAATTGTAGGCCTAATTTGGTCTACTTAAATTTTTGTTTATTATGATTTTTATACATTTATTGACTGTTATGCAGATGTTGTTTATAAATGGAACAAAATGGAAACTAATCCCAACC